TTAGCAACTTTGTTGCGAGAGTATAAAAAAACGTTAATTACTTCTTTATTTATAAACATTTTTTCATGATTCTAGAGGGACGATAACCATTCACGTACTTTTAAAGAATAAGTTGGGCTTTTGTGTTTCAGATGATCCAAATATGAGAAATCGTGTGCGCCAGTGAAAAAACGCATTCCGAAAACATTTGTTCATACACTTCACGATATACCTCATGGTATGTGAAAAAAGTTCTATTGTAGAATAAAAATTTCTATGAGAAAAAAATGTCAAAAAATCAGGCCAGAATACCCTACTGACTAAAGCTCTGCAGTGAAGTATTAAGGGGGGAGCCTGATTTAGAAGCTTCAAAAAATCGATTTTTTTTGCTTAAATCTCTTTAAAAATAATCTAAAAATATCTCCTCAAAGTTTTAGATGAGAATTTGGAATATTTTCGAAGCTATAAGGAAATAAGTGACCGAGCGTCTAGCAGATACATATATGAGCGATTGGGCAGAAAGCAAAAACTTTGACGCGCGATTTCTCGGTTTTTCATTTTTACGATTTTTCTTAATTGGCGAGCAGGATGGAAAAAAACTAAACGTCGTATGGAATTGGGGCAAAGTTTATTCTCTTTGGCATTAAATTATCTTCTAGTTAAACTAAAAAAAAAAAAACTAAGAAAGTCAAGTTTGAACATATTTTTAAACAACATTTCGTAAATTTTTTTTAATTTAACTAGAAGATAAATTATTAAAAAATATGAATCTCTTTGAATTTTTTGTTTCCGATAGAAATTGCGACCTGCATCCTGCCCGCCGTCCGAAAAATCAACATGCGCAATGCATCGGGCAATTGCTTCCCAAAGGTGGAATATCAAAGATTTCGTATCCAAAAAAAAATGTGAATGGTATATATATATAACAATATTCAATTTACACAAATTGCTGCCTGAAACCAAATTAGACATTTAAACTAGAACTAAAATAGTAACAGTCTTCGACTGGTAGCTTCTGACCGAATTCACGCTCGTACATACACAAAAGTATAGCATTTGCTAGTATTTGGACTATTTAGTTGATCACACGAGTTATAAAGTAGTTCAATGGTTACTTGATACAGCAAGCATTTATGAAGAAAATTATGTATGTGTATGTATGTAGGTTTGTACTTACATATATTGAGTTGGGGCATTTATGTATGTATATGTTTATCGTTTTTACTACAAATTTCATTTTGTAATACTCTTATTTTCTTAATCTTACTTAAACTTATTCAATAACAAAGGATATGTTTACTATATACCAGCGCATTCCTACATACATTTATTCGACATTATTATTCTACTCTTACTCTTGCAACATGTTGTGCAAAGTGCAATGCTTTTCCCACCTGACGATTGTTTAGATATCGAATTGAGATACGGGTGTCTATCTATACTCTCGTCGTTCCAGTATGGAGGAACGAACTTTTTTTAAATGTCTCATGGTCTACGGTGTCAAAGCGTTTAGCTCACTCAGTTTCAGCATTCACTTTTAATTTTAACTGTAGCTCTGGAGGGCTTTAGACTGACCCAATCGCTTAATTCGTTCCCTTTTTCGTTGCGCATACTCAGCGTCACCTTTTGAAACATTCTATGTGATGTGACCATTTTTACCGATTTTGCAAAAAAGAATTTATTTAAGTGTAATTAATACCTTTACTTAGTCTAGACAAATGTATATTAATTTCTTCATCCTCACAGGTGGATCACTTTGCAGCATTGAACAACGGAAGTTGAAACGAGATGACAAGTGTGTATGACAAACCCCTCAATCGAAATAAGTTACTATGTTCTTAAAACTCTAAAAAAGTGTTAAATTTAATTCATGAGGTACTAGAGATTCTCCAATCATTTTACTTCTCTTCTATACTGGAAACATGTAGGCTAGGAGTCGCGCTGGTATAAATTGTACTTACAAAGGTCAGTATTGTTTGCCACATACAATTGTTAATTACTTAATTACTAGACACACACATAAATTAATATGTATGCCATAATTCAAGAACTTACTTAACTTATTTTTTCCAAGTTTTTCAAGGCTTTTTCAATTCTGTGGGATTGTCACGATGTTTTATAGTTTTAAACTGTTGTGTCTTATTCTCGTAAACACACTGTAACTTAATGTCCAGCCGATGCAAACATTAATTAATATTTACTACTACAAATAGAACACCTAGTACTTTATTTTTCATTTTCTTTTATTTTTTGTCATTTATTTTGTTATATTGGTATTTCCTATTTTGCTCAGCTTTCTACTTTATATTTTGGTTCTTAATAGCTAAGCTCTACAGAGAAGTCTGTATGTAAGTGTTTAACCTACTTACGAGTATTTCTCACAACAAACTACACACATACACGCACATTCATGTAAAATTTGTTATTATTTTATTAATATTATTGTTTATTTCGAGCTCCTTTAGTTGCTATTTTTGTTTGGTGGAGTTATTTGGCCTGTTAGCCAGGCTTGGCCGAGTTTATTTCTGCTTCGCTTCCCTCTTCCCTTGCCTAAACTTAATTTTATTTTTAGTTCTGGTAGAGCGGTTGCAGCTGATTCGATGACGACGTGGCGTATTGACGAGTTCGTATAATGTTCATGTGTATTTCGGAGGAGGCGGTGGAGTTGATGTATGGCGGCAGGTCAGCGCCCGCGCTGACGCGACAATTTATGAGGTCATATGGGCAGCAGGACTGGAAAAAATATAATACAATATTATAGCGTAATGTAGCATTGCGTGGCTAAGGTTGAGATAGTGTCGATTGTTGAACGTCACGATACACATGTTTGTGCCGCATGCAACCGTTTACGCGACGCATACGCCAAGTGACGCTTGAATGCTCACGCTCGCAGTTTCTACACAATTTCGTAGTTGTTTATGTATTTTAGAAAATCCTCAATAAGTTTAAAATTAATGTGAATAATATTTAAGCAAATATAAGGTCTTCCACGCGAACTAATTTTCGCGGCCGGAAACGTTCAATAGTCGGTCAGTGTATGCGTGCACCCACGAGAACAAACAAACAATCTTCAAATGCCGTTACTTATACATGCACATGTATATATGTATGTATAAATATTAAGCAAACAACATATTGGAAAAGGTTAGAACATTTTCTTTTTCATTTTTTGCTAAGCCATTCAAAGTACACAAATGCACACATACATATACATATGAGCACACACAGTAATAAGAGATGTCATTGTTAAAAGTGTGTAGAAATCGAATAATAACACAAAATAACAAATACAAAGCACATGTGTGAAACGCTTATACGTGCTTATGAAAACAACAACAAACAATTTGTGTATAGCAACATGCGCATATGGTGTGTCTGTGTGGCAGGTGCATGTTGCGAGCACATTCGCCTGAAAATATGTGAAGTTCTGATTGCAGTTGTATGTTTGTGTATGTCATGTTACGAATACAAACAACAACAACAACAATAATCAATGCAAAGCAAGAAAGCCATGTATACACAAAGTTTACGGTAAATACGATATGAATGAGGGTTAGATTTTGAAGGCTAAGGTCGATCCAAAGGTGCGTTAGAATATTGGAAAATATTAAATAAGACTTCTTTGAAATGTTACACACATGTGTATGTATGTATCAAAGATGTCTCGATTTGTTTGCATACCCATTCTTATGTTTCTAATAAATGTTGTTGTGTCTAACATTTGGATGGTGAGAGGCAACGTATCAGAAATGTGAATGCCAGCTGCGAGTTGGAAAATTTTGATGAGTTTTTTGATAATTTTCTTAATGTTTTGTTTGATATATTTTTTAAATTATGCTATGCATCTGCTTGCGCACACAAAAGTGTATTTTTTATTTGCATTTTCTTGGGGCTCCCAACCATGGTGTAACATACATATTATATATGTGCATAAGCATGCGTTGGTCATATGTTAAATGGAATTTCAATCGTTTCCATCTCATATTTATATGAAATATTGGTAGTTGTACCAGTATGGTTCAAAGTCTTCTGAAATATCTCTGAAGAAATAAAACGTCAAGTAACCTTGATCGCTGCTTGCCTTGCATATTTGACAACGCAAATATGTGTAAGAAAGAGTACTAAGATGTTGAACTAAATGTTAACAGCTTCGATTCAAAGAGATTACACAACTGTATGTCGGATGCTTGAGTTTTTTTTATTAATCTTTAAACTAATGATGATATTAATAGATTAATGTAAGAGTAAAAGTGAAGCCTGTTCCAGCTATTTTAGTTGCTCCAATAAAATTATTAAGAACTCAAAATTAAATTGTAATTTCTTTAAAAGCCACAATGAAGGGCTTGAGGTATAAGTACTCAACTAAGCCAAACTAATTTACCCTGATTGAAATTCCATATCGCGACCCTCACTTAATGTAGCACACAAGCAAGTGCAATTTTTCTGTGTCTGCACATCTGTGTACCACCAATAATGATTCATGGAGCTTTTGTCAATAAATATGTCCAATTGCTTTTCTGTTTGTGCACTAGTTTAATAAGTTTAAAATAAGAGAGTTAACACTTTCAAATTAATAGGAACTAAAAGAAAAATTAGTATGAAAAATTAGTAATAAAAAACATCTGATTTTAGAAGTCAAAAATTCTTCTGAGATTTATATGTTTCCTTTTAGAACAGCTTACAATTCAAACTTAAAATATCATGTAACAAAAATTATACCTTAAAGAAAAATATAAGTCGTAATTTAATAACTTTGATTTATTAGTAGAACGGTATTCCTGTGAAATTTCACAGGTATTCAAAAATATACCACTCTGGAATGTGCTTATTAAAGCACGGTCCACAAGATCGTCAAGAAAGCAAAAAAAGCATTAAATCACCTTCTATAGAGCAAATATATATTATATAAGTTATTAAATAAGTTTTGTCGGAGATAATAACAGCTGTTTATAGAATATAGCCATACTTTTGCTGAAATACTCGTGTGGCTTATAAGCGGCAAGCGATTTATACTACCAATGTACTATAGTATATAAATATGCATGTAAAGCATATATTAACAATGCGAACTAATCTAGGAAATTCCTGACTTACCTTCAGTGTTTTCTTGAAAGCTCCACGAAAATCACGATTGAAGTAGGCATAAATGATAGGATTCAAAGCCGAATTGAAGTAGCCGATCCAAAAGAGTATGCCAACAACAATTCGCGGAGTGGTGCAACTAGAGCACAGTGTGGACGTTAAATACCTGAAATATTTATATAAAGTTCATATTCGAAAACAGAAACGTTTTTGTTTGTATTACAATTAAAGTTATTAAGTTTTGGTTTTCAATTACCATAGGAAAAATGGTGCCCAACAGAGTAGAAAAGCACTCATTATTATTCCAAGCGTGCGTGCGGCCTTACGCTCCCGGCGCATTGTTGTAATGGTGGACTGTTCGACTTGGATACTCGGTCGAGGCTTGGGTATTTGGCTAATCTGCAAATGCTTGTCTAGAAGGAGGGCAGCAACTTTGGATCTGAAAGGACGAAAAACAGGGCAACACATTAATGAATAGTGGGAGAATTAGAACATAAATAACCGAAGTCATAAGCTGATAGATTGTCAATTGTAAAAGTAAATGTTAATATTTCAACAGAATGAATGAATAACTGAAAAAATATATCCAAAAGACACGAAGTAAGTAAATGCTTCTGGGTTTCACGGATTCAAAACTTACCTGTAGACAAGCCGTTCCTGTCGTACAGCCTCTTGATAAATGCGATAGTACATGAAGACCATTACGAAACCAGGTATCCAGAAACTCATCGAGGAACTAACTATGGCGTACGCCTTGTTTACTTTGAATTCGCAAATCTGTGTAGAAGATGGGAATAAGCGAATGATAATATAATAAGGGGTTTACTTAACAGAAAACAAAAAAAATAAATAAAAATACAGAGAACTGCAAAGAAAAATTGTAAACGTTTGCAACTCTTTAATACAATGAATACTTGTCACACTAATTTACATAGCCCAACTAACACCTAACGGCGCTTATTAAAACTCAATGAGGTTTCTTATAATCTTACCGCTTTTGAGAAAATTTAAGACCTTTCAATGAGCGAAACCATATTCATTATTTCCTTTGTATTTTCTCGGTTTTGTCAATGACAAGCATATTCAAAGATATTTTAAGAGTGCTAACTTAGACTAGGTGCACTCTAAATAAGTGCCACATCATACTTGCTACCTCAAATATTCAATCTAACATTATAATAAAATAATAGTGATTTAATAGAGAATGCTGCACGCAGTGAATAACTGGCAATTTCATTCGTTTCTTGCACTTATTAAGAGAAGCGTTGATTTTAATTACTTTCAAGATGTTCCAAAAGTTTGTGCTGTATTGCTCACAGCTTCCGAGCGCCTGTGATTTTGGTTTAGCGATTTTTTGGGACCCACACATCGAGCGTATTCCATTTGAGTGCTGAGTGCGTTCGAATTAATTAAGGCGAGCTATTTTGTGTAAATGGACTCGTTATTTAATTTACTTTAACAACTTTTTCTTCTCTTTTATTTGGTGTGCAGGAAAAACGATTGGTAAACAATGAACTGCGCTTTTATAACCTTGCTCTTGTATTGAATTTTTCGCGATTTATACTTTACTTATTCGTCCTTTCAAACTCAACTTGCATTGTTGAGAACATAATTAATATAATAATCTTAATTGATTTTCAATGTCACATTTAACATATTTTAAAGTTCCAACCTTTGTTACTACATACATAAGTAATTCATCGAACAAGACTTCTTTTTCCAGTTTTTCCATTTTTGAGGAGTTGGACTATTTTAAGATTTATAACACAGTGGCCGCACCGAAATTGGCCGAAATTTGGAGTTTTTGAATTCTGCGTGCTAGACGAGTGAGCATAATTTTTACGAAAAAAACTTATTGTAAAATCTGCCAGTAGGAGGAGCAGTAAGACCTGAAGAATTAAAGCAGAAGGAAAAGCTCGACCATGTAGAAACTGAAGGTATAAAACACAAATATCCTCCATGATAAATGAATTGCCGTTAGTTCTCTAAATTATACATTATTATTTTGCTCTTTATCTTTCCTTGCCTTCACCGTAAGAGCGTACTCTCTGAGTCGGACAACAAAGGTTGAGGTGTTTACTGATATTTAAATGTGCGAGATGGCAAAGGACAGCAGAATAATCATGGAGGTGGTGGAGTCCGTGTAGTCTACAAATGTTGAAAATTATTTTATATAAACCTGTTGAGCCCTCTAAATAAAATATTTCATTATTTATCAATAATATGTCCATGCATTTCGATATCTGTAGTGCATAGAGTCATTAATCAAAGATCATATGATTGGATCAGTGCATTTAATAGCAAAGAAGTTAAAATAAGAACGAAACCGGGAGTTATAAAATTTTATATACCTCTTTAGAATTTCTCGCCCACAAAGCGAACGACAGGAGAGTAAGAAGGAAGAAAACACCCAAGCGAAACTCGCCTTGCTTGGGCGTGTTTTGTTTCTTTCGTAGCAAGCATTCATTCATACTTCCCAGATTTCGCATTCAACTTTTTTCTGACGCAAGTGGTTGGAATTTTAGTATGAAATTCGTTTAGCTTCCTAAGTTTTTGTTTTAAATATTTCAACGAGAGCAATGCGGCAGGCACCAAAAAGAAACGAAATCAAAGCAAAGTACTGGTACTAGAGTCGAAAGTGCTCCACTTCATTGTCATGACACTTAGTGAACCTATTAGAATGATACTTAATGTTGTCTTTGATCTAGTAACGAGTTAAATTACCACGCGATTAACTCCATTCCTTTCCTACCATTAACCGAAGCCCGTTCAGACTTTTGCTGATTAAAACACTGTGCAAACGAGAAGCGAGTTAAGTCTTTGCACTATGAAAAGTTTTAATTACTGTCGGAACAATGGAATTAATGGGAACTATGTCACAGCTACACAAAGCACTGCAAACTTCAACACCATCCACGAAATTGTCACAACAGCCTCGGCGCTCTTTGTTGATTGACAAATCGTTTTTCGCAAATCGTTTTTGGCTGTGCCCAGACTGCGTGCGTGGTGCGATCAGGGCCCGTGTACGTGTGTCAGGGTTTTTGGATTATTTCAAATATTTATTATGCAATTATGACTTAATTAAACAGACCCTAGTTAATCGCTAATAGATAATTTCGTTGTCGATGTGCTGTTTTATCGCGAGAGCACGCCCGTGCGTAATTTTGAGTTAATTAAAATTGAAATTCGTTAATCGTTTGTTTAGTAAACTTTGCTGTGTAAAACGAGTATACACAAATGATTAGCCTTCAATTCTTCGTTTAAATCACGCACCCGCATTTTAGTTTAAATTTAATTAACATTTGAATAGCATTTTTTAAAGAACTAAGAGTCAAAAGTATCTTATTCCAAATACCGGACTAAAAAATTTAAAAAGTAAAAATTCTCACAAATCGGTTTAAAAATTTAAGTTTATTTAAAACTAAACATAAAATAATTAAATATTTTAATTAAAATAAAATGTTTAGATCCAAATTTTAAAAATTTTAATTAAAAATCTTGATTGCAAAAAAATTAATCCCAAGCATATAATCAAGAGTTAAAAAAATTGTTTTAGAACCTAATATTTTTACGCGTTTGCGTGCATCGTGTTCTACTATTTTAAACACAGCTATACTAGCCGGAAAACTAACACACTCAAAAAAAAATTTTTTTTAATTTTTGAATACAATTTTTAAACAAACATCTTTAATTAAAAAATAAAAAATCTAAATTTCTAATTTGTATCCAAAATTTTTAAATTAAATAAATTTGCAGCCCTGACAAGCGGTGACTATACTCAAAAATCAAAATTTCATTTTGCCGCCAATATGTAGCAAAGTTTTGATAAACAAAACAAAAAGTCGACAGCCGACAGGATAGGCTTAGTAATAATGGAGCTCTCATTATAATAATTGAAATGGCGGTGAATTCAAATCTTGCTTTATTTTGGGATATTCAGAAATGAATACATTAGTACTCGTAATATTGGAAGAGAGTCAGACATGCAACAAAACAAACATACTCAACTCAACTTAATTGTAATTTAATCAAAATTATAAATTGAAAATCAACGGAAAATGTCAAGCATTGTTATTGTAGGTATAACTAATCACCAGTTCGAGAAATTCACCGAAGGGTATGTTTATTTCACTCGCTGTTCAACTAGGAAAACAAAATTTATGCTATAAAACCATAAAAAACAAAACTTCGTCAAGAGAAACACGCAACTGAAAACTAATTATGGCGCAACTTTATGCTAATACATGTAAAATGCCTTCGGCAACCAACCGTTTCATTTCATATAATATACACACTCACACACCCGTGCATAGATACTCCCACATACAAGGATATGTTCTCCACGATTCCACATAATGACAGCAAACAACAAACGCCATGAAGATTTCAATGCATATATGTAGCTACACACACATGTAAAGAGTCAACAGGATATTGACGCCGCATTTTAACACGCTGCGGAAGTCAGCCAAGCTAATTATAATTTCACAATGCCATTTGCAATTACTATGCTCGCATAGTCGGCAGTTAGTGCGGCAAGTAGCTGTGCATGTTTAGGTTGATGCGACTGTGGGCCGCTGGGTCGGTTGCATAATCAATTTAAATGGCAAACAAAGGAAACATAATTTCATCTAAAGAGCCATGCATAATGGCGCATACATCGATATTGAAGTGCAATAAAAGTGAGATTTAATGCGAATTTAAGTTTACTTGAAGGACCCATATCTGCCATTAAGTCTGGAATACAATATTGTGCAGACAGTGCCGCAAATCTGAGTCATCCAGTGGTAAAATACACACTTACGAATTGGCAACCACGCCACAGTCTCCCAAATATGATGTCCCCTCGCGCCTTTCAGACAAGATATGCAAACAAACATACGAACATATGCTAACGTAATTAAATTCAAATGCCACTCTGAGACACTTCTTGTGACAGGCTACTTGACAGGTGAAATTCAAGGTGAATGCATTAGACTGCTTGCACTTTTGCCATTAACATAATGTCAGAAAAAGGAAGAAGAAAATGAGTCAACTGCAAACTCTATAATTGAATTTAAATTAACACAAATTTCGTTATTGATGGAGAAGGAAACATTGGAGCGCCCGCTCTTAATCAAGAATATGGTGTTTCAGATTCTATTATTTTTGATACTTACCCTTTACGTTTTTGCGTACATTCAATTTTATTGCATATGTATGGTTTATTGACTCACACTGAACAATTTTTATATTTAGATTTATTGATTTAATCAAACCCATCCGTCCATCTGCTTCTGTGACCAATTATTTGACCAAAAATCACATTTTAACCATTAACCACTCCCCGTATTCACCTGATGTGGCACCGTGCGACTTCTGCCTTTGCAGAAAAATGCATTTTCCCATGAAAGAAAAGCAGACACTCGTTCGACATCCAAATTTGCACTTGGACCGTGCAAAAAGCTGTATTGAAGCAGAATGAGACTATTTTGAATAAAACAAATGGATTTTGGGGAAAAACCCATTTGCTCTGTTTTTCTTAAGTCCTGTTTACTTTGGAACATACCTTGTATGACAACAATAATATGGCGATAAAAAGCCAGCTGTGATTTATTTCAATCTAACCTACAAGAAACATATGTGAACAGTGGTGAATTTTCGCTCAAAATTGTCTGTTTGCGATTAAGATTTTGTCAAATCCTCTCTGAAGAGCCGTTGGTATACATACATAAATAGCATGCATCCATAAATAAAATTCCCAGTTTGTGCTTAAGCACCAAGGAATGTACGAAAGTTTGCCATTTGCCAGCGATATGTATGTAGAGCAGCAACTATGTATTTCAACGACAGATTTATTTCAATATGTCGCTTGTATTTTGTATACGCACCACGCCGTTGTATCGAGGTAAAATAGTTGCACAGACCGCGACTAGATGCCGCTTAGTTTGAATTATTACAGAGTTTCCTTGTTAATGTACAGTAAGTATGAGTATGTAATGCAAATATCAATAAGTAACACACATATAACCCAGTTTGGCGGTAATGACGCTGCAGCAAGGCAGGATGACGGAAAATCACATTTGGAGCGAAAAATGTGGAAAACGCGGAAAATTGACATTAAGTAACTTACTTGTGCACGTTAAGAACATAAAAAGACATAAGTCGTAGACTCTGTATCAATAATATATACATATATACGATATATACTCAACAGGAAATTCAACTAATTCGAAATTATTTATGATAAGAACATGGCTTCCAGAGGAAAAGCCTTAATAGGATGATACATATTTAGTTTAGTAATAAATTATGAATATCACGAACTACTTATACAGTTCGTAAAAAGTATACCGGAAATATTAAACACACATATCCGGAGTTTTAGGTCTCACGTAAAATGAAACCAGCTATTTTCGATTTATGAATCCAATCTACTCGATTTTCTTAAAAGGCCCACCGTTTTGGCTTGAACGTCATTAATTTTTAGATAAGGTCAACTAATAACTTTGTAGCTTATCAGGTACACTCAGTTTGGTGAGACCCTGTAAGCTGTTGTACATTAATTTTCATCTTAAACACTTTATAACTGTTAAAGCTGGACTCTGTGAGTGATGTGCTAAGGTTGTTAACAAGAAAAGTTAAACTCATAATTCAGGCCGCTGCAGCAGCGCAGCACCGATGATCGCTTACCAATTTCGCCCTCGCATTTCATTCTCTCGCGCTCAACCTTCTTTCACTCGTATAAATACGTATGCAAAATGGTCAGTAAGTGCTACTTACGTGTGGATTGCTTTTTAAATATTTCCAATTTTCCTCCGTCGTGTACCAGCCCGAGCAGATCGGTAGAAATGAGAGAAGCGCGGGCAACAACCACACCATTAAAAGCATGAAGTACACACGTCCCTGCGTCATAATCAGTGGATAATCGAGCGGTTGCACAATCGCATAATATCTGCAATGCAAGTAATTGGAAATAGTCTCGCAAAAAACCACATTAATTCTAGTCAAAACCCTCAATCCATACATAAATGTTTGTGTAAACTGATTAGTGCTACTTACCTATCCACAGATATGCAGCAGAGATGCATAATACTCGCCGTTGAGAAGTAAACATCGAAACTGTTCCACACATCGCACATTACGGCACCGAACATCCACTTCCCGGTAATCTCAACGGAAGCGTTGAATGTCATAGCGCACAGGGCCACCAACATATCAGCCACGGCTAACGAAACCACAAAGTAGTTCGTGATAATGCTGTGGATGGAACGCAAAAACAAAACAAAGAATGAATCAGCAAAATGCAGCAAGAAATTAAAATTTCCGAAAACTTCTAGTACAGCTGCCTCCAGTAACTGACTCCGGTAGTTAGCTTGCTTATTTGGGGAACTTTTAAAGTATTAAATAAAAGTCTTTGAAATACGGTAAGGCAGTGAATAAATCCCGGTTAATTTTCCTTCTTCATATCTATATATACATACATATATACCATTAAAGTGAGGTTTATCTACATTCCGATCTTAGAAGAAACCATCTTATTTCTGATCAGATTTCGTAGATCAAATGTTTCTTGGAAATGTAGTAGATCTTGTACTATCATTAAAGACAAATTTTGGGGGTCAATTGTGCGCTCCGATTCGCCAAAGTGTTAGAAAGCACGTACAAATAAGTCTAACTCAATTCACAAATTCATTCAACGTGATAGAAAATCAATAAAAATACAAAATACAACTGTGAATAGAAGGTTTTCTCTTAATTTTGTTAGCTAAAGTTTAGCAAGTGATGAAATTGTGTATTTGAGTCCTGAAAATTACTTAATGAATATATTGTGGAAGTCAGTATGTCTGTGCATCAGATATCTTTTCACTACAAGAACAACTGTTCACAACCAGCAGCCTCTCATATAAAGTTTTGTTTTTACTTTTTGCGGTTGTTTTTGTTTACTTGTTCCGCTGCATGAGTAAATATCCACTTGATACATACATGTATTTTCTTCTATAAATAGCAAGCAAATGTCAAATAAAAATACCTTGGCAAACCCAATGGGAGGCGAATCAGCATTCAAGCGGAGTTTCACATTTCGAAGGCTTTTGGCTGGATTTTGGGGTTTGAGGGATTTGGGTCTTTTAATGGTTTCTTATAGGAATTATACAACATTATTGGGTTTATCTACCTATTTATATACATCAATTCGCAAACAAAAACAAAGCAAAATAAAAACTTAAAAATCCGTAATGTTTCGTCTGTAATGTTACCCAAATATGCAAATGAATGTATTCAATAGAAAAAGGCGTAATATTTTTGAAATGTGAGTGTAGAGTTGAGTTTATTTGGACAAAAAAAGAGGGCGAGACAATATGAAATTGCGCCTAATTTTGCTACCGATCAATAATTGTCGAAGTCAAGAAAGACAGTCGAAACACGCATCAAATGAATTGAAATATCAAAATTTCCAAAGTTCGGAGTGTTCGGTGCGGAGATGTCTGATTGATTCATTAAGCTGGTGAAAACTGGCACTTATTGATTGCCTTTATTGTGCCACCTTTGCGCACCAGTAAATAAGTGCTTATTTCTAAAGCCATTGGCAAATTACGCAAACATCGATTTGAGCTCTCTTTTCAGCAAACACTACAAATATAATCCAGAGAAGTGACAACTAATAAAGTTGCAATTGCGCTGTCTATAAGTATAAGCACCCTCAGGCTGTTTATGTATGTGTGAGTACGCTTAGGGCTAAACTGAAGCCTAAGCTCTATTGCAGATGCTAATGACACGAATGTTCTCTTTTCAGAATTTAAACAAGCGACTTGATGGATGGCTATCGGTGAAATTCGACTCCCCTTAAATGTTCCTTACTGTCAAATTAATAATGTTTTATACATCACATAACCAAACATCATGCATGTATGCATGTAGGGTAAATTGTTTCTTTAAATTTCGTGGAAAGCTTTACTCTTCTATTTGCGTTGTCGGCAAAAGTATAAAATTGAATGTCAAAGAAAATGTAGGCAACTCAAAATTTTGTTCGATCCGCATTTTTGTTTGATAATATGATGACAACAAGAAGATTTAAGCATTTATTTTATTCAGAATGTACACATCTCTTTTTAAATCACGTGTGCACTTTTTTAAATAAAATCCAAAGATTCAGGCTGAATGTATTTTATTTTCTGTGAACTCACAGAAAAGGAGAAAAATAATATTAATTGCTATATAAAATGTATTTTCTCGTTGCTAACATAGTATGACATCTGTGCACTGAGGATTCAACATTGTTGGTGAGTGAAGTCTATAATATTGAAATCTAAAGCATTGGCCAGAGGTGAACGCGGGTTCATAAATTACAGCCGTGTGGGAAAATAAAGTGCCAGCTTTGTTATGTTGAACAATCCAAGCAGAAAATACACATTTAGGCGATTTTATTTCAATTCGTGAGCTTTACAACGCGTAGTCACGTAATTCGCTGTCATTCCGCTTGGGGCTAGCGATTGCTGTCTCAACATTTGATTACTCATACGCACCGGCAACCGTCAACCGTCTGCGGATAACGCTGTTTCCTCCACGCTTTCACTCCAATCGGCTTTATTTTAATTTCCCTTTTTTGCTGTGTGCACCGTTAGCAATTTGTCAATTTTCTGAACTGATATTAAATTTTCACGTCGATAACGGCACGCAAACATACAGACACACTGACGTGGCACAGACGTGTATAACCCCGCATGTAAGCGAACAAGCAAAGAGGGCGGATGGGCGCAGCCAAGAATAAAATTAAACAAGTAAAATTGTAAATGCAAATGTTAAATTCGCTGTCATTACGTTCCATTTTATATGAATTGTGTCTGTAATCCCTTTCGGGTTCCAGCGGTATTGTTACTGCGTTAGTATTTGATCTTATAAAAGTGTGCGGCTAGAAGACATATAAATCTTTGTTGACCCGAAAGGTGACTCCAAAGCTATTAGAAGACCCTGCACACTTTCAGATGTACTAAGTATGCCCTCAGGTACTGATATAATGGGCGTTTCGAAGGCGTGCGCAGCAAAGTGTTAACTGCTTTGGCGGTCGCTGCCCTCAAGAGAAGTTGTGTCTGAATTGACACAGTCGAGCTCGTGTACCTTGTGCCATTTGGCATTGTAACATTTGAATACAAATTTAATGTAGCGCTGGGCATTGGCAAGCGGGCGGCATACAACCGAACGAAGTGTAAAATAGCAAAAAGTCGAGGGAAGACAGAGTTGAATGGAAATGTAACTCCCAGGTATCGCAACTGCAGCTCTCGCTTTGGCATTAACGCGAACAAGCGTGCTGCTGGATAGAGAACGAACTGGCAAATAGACAAGTTAAAGAGCAGCTCTTAAGGCTTATCCTGCTACCTAAAACTTTTTTACCACAGTGTATTTGGTCGAGCAACGTTTCATTGTTGCGCCATTTACATCAGAATGCTCGTACTTAACCTTACCGTAACGACGTTGTGCTCACGACGCCGAGGAGTACTCCAAGCAAGAAGCACGCCGTCAAGCAGAAATGGGAAATTAAGCTTAATTAGTATTAGGATTCCCACTCAAACGCATGCACACACTTATAAAACGCACGTGGAAGCCCTTGCAAATAAATGTGTGGATATGTAAGGTGTTTATTTTCGAGTTGCGTGTATAAAAATGGCAAATTACAAATACCATTAATAAATGATGACACGATATTAAAGAATTTATTAGTCTTTTGCTCTAGCAACTGTGCAATTATTCAGAAGATACATACGGTTTAGGACTTGAATGAGTTTAAATTACATGTTGTGGCTGGGTGGACCCACAATGAGACTGGGAACTAGTAGTCGCTTAATTAGTTAAATTATTTCATTTTAATTGTTGAAACTTTACAGAATAACCTTTCTTAATTGTTCTCCAACAGCGTCAAATTTGATATTAATGATTTCGAAGTTACGAATTTAAGTAACGGAATATGAATTTATGCTTTATCACTCTTTGATGTGATCTGTATAATTTAGGTCATCATTAAATTTATTCTTTTACAATTTTATACTCCTTCTGCGCCGACAATGTCTCGAAGAAGATTTTACTTGCAGAGTCGTATATCTATGAAGCAATTGTGAAGGTAAATGTTGGTCTTTAACACAATCCATATTTTTCTGAAATTTTAAGAAAATGTTTTCTAGACTCAAATAACTTAGTTTAAGTTGTAACTGTGTCTAGTCTTCTTCCAACAACATAATCGATAATGCCTATTTGGTTAATAACAAACTCCTGAAACACGACTCTGATAAGTAAAGCAAAAATATATGTGTCCATATGTCGTCATATATACATATGTATAGTATACATGAATTTATGTAGTCAGCTCCTTGCTTCTATTTCGCTGGCTATATAAGCTTCTATACAATCGGAACGGCTGTACAAAACAGTCGAGTTTAGAAGTGTGTAATTTTCTGTAACACTATATTCTATCACTGCATTAAGCATGACACTAGTTAACATTTTAGTAAAATAATAATCGTAATCGTTAAAGAAAACAAAAGCGCGGCTTTCATGGTGCATACGCAACTAAATTACTCCCGCAGAGAACAGAATCTTTTGCTTGGCTACATAGTTATATATTATGAGTTAAAATTGTTTCCCACAAGAAGAGGAGAAGAGGCCAAGGGCAATGTACTCGAGTATATAAAGTGTATTTTTCACAAGTAATCTTAATATTCATCCACCGCAAATTTTGGAAGAATTTTAGATCTCCCAAATAAATCTCCTAACATAACTAATGACTTAATTTCTTTCTTCAATCAAATACATAAATATTAACAATATCTGGATATAAATAGGGCGATAATATATATTAGAAGACGCTCATTTTTAAGTTTTTCTTAGTCCATACCCCCATGTTTTTACTGATAATTCATCTTAACCTCAAATGTGAGTCCATCACTAAGCCTTAAGGTGTTAATAGAACAACACTTCCACCCGAACTACTTCCTTGGCCGATGCTCTTCACTTCCACACTATGTAAGAAGGTATACTCACCGCAATTTCCGATGCCGCATAACGGACACAATTACGAGCACATTGCCGAGTATGGCTGCGAGTATAATGAGTATAATAACGCAACATTTGAACATGACAAATGCCAAGTGTGTCGACCATTCGGGTGTGGAAGCAGACGCTGCCGTCGACGTCACAGCGAACGCTAACGAGTCATTGAATGCTTTCGCCGCCACGGACGCGGCAGCTGCCACTGCCGATTTTATAGGAACTAAATTGCCGCCACCGTTTGCCCTCCCAAGGCCGGCCCGGCTGTCTGTGCCCTTACCGCCGCCACTGCCATTGCCGTCCTCATCATTGAGCAACATGCTCGCCATGAAACCCAAATACATCGGCTGATCGCCCTGCAATGGTGGCATAGATGTTACAACAACAACAGGTGCAGTTATACCAATGTGCTTTTCCAAAGTAATTGCGGCTTTTGTGGCCGTCGCTTCACCAGAATCCGCACCGGCGATAATTCTTAAGTGCTCGTCATTCGTGTTGCTGGCCGGCGCCGCCGCTGCTGCCTCACCAGCCACATTCCCTGAGAAGGCCACAAACAGAAACAGCATGGCGACGGCGAGCGGAACTACAGTCTTAGTGTTCGCCGCAGCCATCACCGTTATTGTGCTCGCAGTTATTTTCGCAAAGTTGTTGGCACTTGTTGTGGCTAATGATTGTGGCATTGCGTCTGTTGGCGTTGATTGTAATGGTCGTTGGCGCTCGCCTGAGTTAGTATTGATGTTTGTTGCTTTTGTTACTGTGTGTTTGTTTGTTGGCATTACCAGCATTGACGGCATACGGCACGCATTGTGTGCGTAATTTAAATAGTGATTGCGCGAAACCTTACGTCCATGTGCTTTGAAACCGAACGGGATTAGTAAGCGGCAGCAGAGGCGGCCTTCTTATGGACCAATGCATGCTTGCGCTATTTGAAGACACCGCTACTTTGGTGGTTTCTCAGGCAACAATACAAATTGCTCTCCAACTACGCTGAGGCTTTTTGACTTATGACATAATTATTGTTGTTGTTGTCCTTTTGTAGTCACTACAGTTTCTAAATTATATTAACGGTGGTCGATATCCCATTTGAAGCGGTCCTGAAAATAAAATAGATACCTTTAATACTCTTATTATGTGTGTGTGAGTGTGTGTGTGTGAGCGAATGAAAAAGTTATCCCATTTAAAGCGGTCTACACACATTATCAGACTGAAATTCCCGGACACTTACAGGTCACATTACTGTGATAAAATTGAAATCTGTGTGGCAAGTTGCAGCAAAGGTGACAATTGAACTAGTGTGAGGAAAGATTTACAAAAAAATTTAAAACTCGGCGAAGCTTGAATATTACATGTTTTCAACGAAGTAAAAACAAATTTGCTTGAGGGCATGAAATAAAACAATACTGGAGATCAGTAATCAGACTCACCACCACCATTAATATGATATTATATTAATATTAAAAACAGCACTTTGCGCAGCTAAAATTTTAACAGCTCACAGATCTTTGCACTGCTTTTTGAACAGACAAAACTCGCAAAACCACACCACACGTCAACAAAGGTGTCATTTTCCAAACGATATTTACTTTGCAATTCCATTCCATTTGCCGTATCGGCAATGCAGATATCATTCCACCGTTCATTCGACAATTATGCGTCTATGCACAGATATTCGCGCATGCCGAGTGATTTTCAGCTTCTGCTAGGCCTGACATGCCTGTCTTCACTTGAGCATAAGCCAAGAAGTGGTTCCTCCATGAAAACATCCTTCATTATGCAAATGTAATCATGCAAATACGTAGGTATGCAAATAAGCAGGATAAGCGCTCATATTTCAAACCCTGCCTTCGGAAATTAATAAAACATATCTCTAGTTTTCTACGAGAATTTCATTTATTCATACCCACTTATATACACTACGTCACTACGTGTGTTTTTTACATATTTATGTATCTACGTGTAAGAAATGCTTCCTCTTCTTTGTGAATCGTCGACAAATAATTGAGAGAGCCGGCAAATTGACGAAGAGGCGTTACACAAGTGTTGCATACTTATAGGAGCAAATATCTAACTTATTTCACTGTATTATATAATATATTTATCTACTTGTTTTTCATCCAAATATGGCAAACAATTTTTTGCTGTTTTATGGCATTGACATTCTAGTTTTTAAAGCACACCTCGGTAAATCCATAAGCGCACGTGAACAAATTTTGAACTTACAGATAAAATGGCGGTTGAAGTTCAATAACTAATAACTTGTGGGGTCTCCTTTAACATTTAATAATTAATGCTTTAATGCGTTCAGACATAGATTTAATTAAAATATCATTCCTTCTTGAGTCCAGAGTTCAACAATGGCATTTGGTGTTCCTCTTTGAGCAATTAACCGTTTTTTTACGATCGCCCATATATATCCGAACGAGTTCATATTAGGCTAAAAAGTTGGCCACTCCATCACCCTAATTCTGTTTCCAATCAAGTTTTTGTAAAGTTTTTGGGCAAAGCAGAGGATTTGCATTCAAGAAACGCGAGGCTATAAATAGGTGAATCCTCTAATTTTCAGTGAATTTCGATTGATATTGACGCATACACTAGCGCTTGAGACGATAATAATACTATGTTAGCCTCCATTGCGTTTTTGGCTGCTAAGTCGTGATAAGTCTGCCATAAAGTCTTCTGTTTCAGGAGTGAGCTTTTTAGTCCTTCCAATATTTTTGGATGATGTGTTAATAATGCCTTCATAATTGCTCTTACTGAAAGCTCCCTCTGCAAGTCCGAACATACAGCTTTTCACAAAATAAAATTTATGTTTCTTGTCGTGTCAGAAAATTTAGCAGATTTGCTAAATTACCAATTTTTCGATACTCCGATCGAATCATTGAACCAACGCACTTGACAACGGTTCTTGATAAACCTACCGCAATAGAGATGACAATTGAGTACGATTTTGGCTAGCACTCTTCCAAACGACTCGGCCTTATTTACTATACAGAAGCTAGCTCCCGACTAGTTGTACCTACAAAATACTGTGTATGGAATAGGAACTCAATGGGTATCATTTGCTCTACTATAGTAATGACCATTTGGAGTAAGTGGACAAACTAACTGACTCTTTTTAAAGCACAGGCAGGCTCCCGATTAAGGATTTTTCTTCGTTTTCATTTATTAAGAAGGATAAATAGTATTTACTATTGAAATTTTCCAATTTATAAGTGGAGTTTAAGCTAGCGAAGAGGGTCTGCTCCTCAACAAAACTTTATTCATAAATTGAACAAAGACGAACCGAAGTAATTATTACTGTCGCCCAAAGATAGCTGATTGTACCCCTTGAAGTCGATTTCAAATTGTACACCAAAAACTCAACGCTCTATCTCACAAGTGTCACATAATTCGATTAAAATGATCTCATAAATAACTTGTTCCGCCAAATTTCTTGCACCGTATCTTCGAACAAAAATGGAAATTCCGACATTAAAGAATTGAATTTGCGTCAATTGGCTAATATTTACCGAGAAATTAAAAATGGATGAGGGCAGAGAGCAAATGGTGAATGTCAAGTAAGCGGACACAAACGCACATACATTCCCAGTTGGAAAAGAAGGTGGGCAAAACAGCGTTCCAGTGCAGGCGAATTGGTAATGCCTTATTGAACTGAAGTGCGCGCCAAATCAGAAACCGAATTTAATGTTCAGAACGAAAATGGGTCAACAGTTTAAACATATATATATATGTGTGTGTTTGAACCACTGTATATGTAGAGCAGTTTCCATATAGTTAATATAACAAATGACCTTGCAACAACAGATCGAAACGGGATGAACAACGGTGCAGACGTCTTTCTGAAACTGCAGGAGAGCAGTATTCGCATGCGAATATTGGAGAACTGGTGGAGCGCCAAGTAAGTATAATTTCCAGTATGATATGCCCCCACCGCTCGGCTGTTTGCGTGGCTACTAAAAAAGTAATAATTCATTTAAACTCACTGACAAAGAGAAGAAGCCCCGCGTGGATTACTCATTTCGAACGACGTCTGCGGCTAACCGCGTAAATAAGTGCCTCCAATAAAATATTCGCTAGGAATGGGGGCTTTTAAAGCTACCACACACTGCGAATTTGTTGTTAGTAGACTCAAATATAGCGTGAAATGCGACAAAGTAGCCGCGAGCGTTGGTCTGTCTATGTCTGTTTTATGTCAAATGTTATTTAAATAATGTTTATGTGGTTGTTTATGTATGTTGTATAGATATGTATATCTCGTATTATTCCAACGCAATATGGCGAGGTGACTATCAAACTCTCATAATGAAGTGCATAGTAAGTTGTAACCAATAAGGCTGATGTACGCATGCGAATTTATATTTGGGTTTGATTCCACTGTGTAAGGTAACTGTATTTCAATGTGAAAGTAAATATATAATTACAGACGTAGTATGTTTTTTAGCTATTTATTTACTGAAAATGTTAACAAATGAAGTAGACGGACCGACAGAAGTAGGAGGATTGCCCTAAATGCCACCGAATTTTGTGCCCTAAACTTGGTTTGCTTTTAAACGTGAAAGAAGTGAACGAAAATTGTGCTAATTGGCAAAAAAGGGTTTATATTCATGTTCAACGTACCTGAAAAAAGATTGAAAATCTTCAGTTGAGCAAACAAGATCACTGAGAACGCTAACCATATCTATGTATAGTAAGGAAAAGTTTTTTTCATCTTTAAAATACAATGTACAGTACAGAATGAAGATTCAAAAGCGCGAACCCTCGAAATTTGAACCCACGAAAATTGGAATGATTTCTAAGAAGTTAACCCGCCGCAGATATGGTGGTATGGATATGGCACAAGTCAATTATCTACCAGAATTCCATATTTTTACATAACTTTAAATTCTTTCTCAATCTAAAATGATTCACGATTGGATAATTGTAAGTTTGATAATGGTTCGTGACACCATAAAATGTATAAATTTCTAAAAGCTACTTCAAATATTTATGGTGTATGCTTAAAAAGATGTTAATGTTATACAAACATCCATTACATTACTACATACATATGTATATATAAATGCGCGTGACAAGTTGAGCATATATGGAAAGCTTTTCCATTTGACGAAATATTTTCAAAAAAATATGTAATCTCCAAAAAATATGCAATCTCCAAAAAAAAGCATTCAGATCAGATGAGTATAGCATATAGCTGCTTTACAAACTAACCGATCAAAGTTCTTGTAAAGACTCTTTTGCTTTTGCGAAAGATATCATATCTTCATTGCAGCCGAAGTTACATTTGCTCTTGCTTTTACTTAAGTTTGGCGGGAAATAGTGAATAACGAAGCATATTTGCTCGTCTAGCTGTTCACGGTCGGCATATAGTGGAATTTTCTCTTTTTTTCTTTCTAAACAGAATACAGTGTCTTATTTTTTGTGTCAGAAACGTTGAAATATTTCCAACCCAGTTTGTCAAAGCGAGCTCTTTCCTGACCATAAATGATTTTCTAAACTGGGCAGCATCCCTCATAGGCATTTTAGTCCATAATATGCTCATCAAATGTTAAAAATTTGTATATGGGTGTGTACTATATGTACGTTCTCTTCCCATTTGCAACAGAATGAGTTTGTCGGCAATTTCACCGACAACATCAGGCTATGAATAGTCTATTGTTGAGAAATTAATCAGTGAAGCACTTTCCACTCACATTCAATATTCTGGAAAGTATACACAAATATATTCTGCATAAAATGCAACTATAGTATTGT